AAAGCGCGGCGGGCAGCAGCAGACATGTCGGCGGCGGCGGTCTCGTTTGGTGAATCAGAGGGTAGAGCTTGGGCTGCGGAGAACTCGAAGATGTGGTGTAGCGGCGACATGTCGGCCTCGGTCGTAGAAGCTTCCATCTGGAGGGGCGGCGCAGAGTCAGAGCGTGTTTCCGTGACCGTCGTGGGTACCAGCGTGCGTGAGTCGTCCATGCCGTGGGTTCGGTCCATGATGGGTGATGAGCTTCTGGCGCGGTTGTTGTCGAGGTATTCGTCGTCGCTGTCGCTGCTCGTCTGCTTGGGCAAGCTCCCGTCTAGTCGTTCCGTCGCCCACTGCCGTATTCGCCACCCCTCGCCGTCGCCCACACCAATATTCTCCTTGTCGAGGAAGGTGAGCAGCTCATCGAGAGCCTCCTGGTAGCCGTCGGTACGGGCCCTGTCGATGTCGGCAAGCGCCGACTTGTACAGGTGCGTCACGTTGAGGGCAGCGGTGCGGAAGGACTGGTGCACGTCGTGCTGCCCTCTTGTCTTGGGCAGCGACTTGTTGAGACTGCGCATCGAGTCCATGGTGGTTGTATGAGCTGTCGGCGGCAGGTGCGGTGGTGTCAAATCTTTGTCGGGCTCCACTGCGTTGTGGCCGGTGTTCGGCACCCGTGGGCGATGCAACCGTGATGGGGAGCGAGATGGAAGTAAAAAAGTAGATGAAGCCGTTAAGGTGAACGACAGTGCTGTTCACTCGGAAGGAGCGTGGCTTCTCGTCGCTCGCTGGGTTGAGGTCGTGCGCTGCTCCTGGACTCGCGGGGTTGACGCTATCACGGGCTCTTAGCTCCGGGCTAGGCCCTGACAGCATGTGCCACCCTTCACCCGTCCCCGTCACCATCCTTGATTCACAGCCCCAGCTTCTAGTCAGCATGCCATCATGACTTCGCACCTAGAACGCCTTCCTGTCGAGCTGTTTGAGCTCGTTGCTGCCACTCTCAATATCTCGTCTCACAAAAGTCTTCGTCTTGCATCCAAGAGATGTCGCTTCCTCACCCATTCTGTATTTGTAGAACGCGCTTTTTCCCGGCTAAAGACTACTCTTGGACCACCCTCTCTCAACCGTCTCGTCAACGTGGCGCAGTCGCCTCATTTCCGTGGTTCTGTCAAAGTCCTACAGATCCAGCTCCTGACATCAGCGGAGTATAGTGTCCTCGCTGCCATCAGCCGTGTGGGCAGGTTCCCGCCACCCAAACGATTTCCCAGGGTACCTGGCATCCAAGACAAAGATATCAAGGAAGAGGCACCCACATTCGCATATGTCGTGGAAAGCGAGTATCCAACCCGGTTGTACGATGGCCTTGTTCGAGCATTGCGAGGCTTTACCAACTTGACGGCCATTCACTTCCATCCGAGGGGATCCCAGCTCGCGGACTCCAGCAGTCTTCTTTCAGCAACCGATTGCCTATTTCGTAGTAGATGCTTTCAGGTCGTCATGGACGCCATCGTTAACAGCGAGGTCCGTCTGAGCGAGTTTCGTATGGCCAAGTGCAAGCGTGGGACTGCGCTACATAAGGAGGCCATCCTACCATTCTCGGCACTCCAAATACCTACGCAACCTCTAAGGACACTACAGAATCGCTTTTCGCACCTCAAAGTTCTCACTCTCTCTGCTTTGTCTAGAAACGATGACCTCTCTCGCACACCTGGTTGGCAGAATGGGGTCGGAAATATCATTGCCACTGCACCAAAGTTGAAAAGCTTCACGATGAGTCTAGATCGGACTAACTATGCCGCAGCCATCGTTCACCACATGGTTGCTTCTTGCACATCCCTTAAGCTAGAAGTACTCCAGCTCATGTTCTGCGCATTGCATGGAAACGACCTAGTCGCTATTATTAGGACTCAGTCTACGACATTGCGACGAGCTGTATTCTCCGACCTTCGCCTTGTGACTGGCACTTGGTCGTCAGTATTACACGCTCTAAAGGAGTGTGGGAATCTCGAACATTTGCGCTTCAGCTCGCACTCGGGGGCAGAGCATCCAGTTCGACGTCTGGACGTGGCCCGAGGACATCGTACAATGACCGATATGGTGGATGAGTTCATCGGCTTCTTGGATACTACAGCAGGTGCTTCTAACTCACAAGAAAGTGGCTTCGTTGACCCTCATCATCACGCTGGTCTGTCATTGGCCAGAGCCAGTACCACAGTACCAAGTGAATGAGAGACTCACCCACGGTTACCAAACTACACCACTCTGCTCTTGCGTTGTCGTTAATCAACGCCCATTCGGCTCACTACTGTCACAACCCATCTGACTGAAATTCTGGTTTCCACCCACCTCGACGCAACACGACTTGATACACTCCTCAACCGTATCGGTCACGCTGAAAATGACACCCATGTCCCAACTCTCGAAGGCGGATGTCCGCCTATTTTTGCGACAGCTCCAGGCCAATTCTGCCGACGTGACCAAGTGGGAACCCATGATGCGCCTTTCCCTGCTGCGCGGTGGGCTCATCGATTTTACAATTTATGGCCGCCGTGTAGCATCAGCGCCACGTCTTGCTTTGATGGCTGTATCTCAGAGCGCTCTTGCCTTCCTCGCCAAGCATCCTTGCGCACCAGCAATCAACTTCACCTTCGACGTACCCGCTGTACAGCTGCGAGGTGGAAATGGCCAGGCAAAACTCGTCTCCGGGAAGTGCAAGATGCGCGAAGCTCAGATCAAGATCCATGAAGCTGCTCTTGTCGCGATCTCACAGTGGCTTACCGCCCTGTGCACACCCGCACTGATGCCTCTTGCCGGAGCAAACTTCTCGATCGAGACGTGCATCCGCTTCATCTGCGTTCACACTCTACACGCGCCAGAGTATGTCCAGCACCTGACCGACAAGTTCATTACGGACGCCGGTAGGCTTGCACTGAGCTCGCAGCAAGTGACAGAGCTTGTCAGGTCGTGCCGCGGTGACAACGACCAATTGCTCATGGGGCTCGCGGAGAAGTTGATTGGGAAAAAGCTCGACGGCCAGCTCGCTCCTAAGCAACTGAGCATGTTCTTGTGCAAGGCAGGCAACGAATTACTGAAGAAGAAGGTCGAGACCCTGGAGAAAGAGATGGGCTTCACGAGTAAAGGGACGGGCCCGAAGGCGGCATTGCAGTCCTGGACTGAGGGATTTCCTTCCTCGTTCCCCACAGCGGCAACCCGTTCCGCGGGGCGGATTCATGAGATCAAAGACCATGAGATAATCGAGATCGACAAAGACGTAATGAAAGTGGATGCAGACGGGTGGCAAGTACCTCGTGCGAAAGAGGAAGCGGCAGCGTCGAAGAGGCAAAAATTGACGCACAACAAGGATGGCAAGAAGTAAGAAATGGTCAAGCTGGAGGGGGATTGACCGGTTCGGGCTCAAGGCGCTGTGGGCTGTGACCTGGACATCCGAGTCGATCCTTGATCGTCGACCAGGTGTACTATACAGATCTAGCACGATGCGTTGATGTCAGTCTCTAACGATGGGCTGCCTGTAAAGATCCTAGGTATACGAGAGAAATTCTGCCCTTCAAACTGAAATGGAAAGAATACTACCATCTGCTGATGTGCTTACGGGGCTAGACTATTGCGCATTGCCTCGAAGGCTTATACAGGTGATAACTAATACATCCTAACTCATTTCACCTCCGCTCGTTCGTGAACGACCTAGATACCGGTCAGTCCCCACCGACTAAGATGATGGCCTTGATTCGGCACACACCACCGAGCGAGATGTCTACACGAACATGCAGTTGCTCCACAACGCTACCGCCACCACAAAAGCTTGATCTCTCATCGATCAACATCGCTTCCACCATCCCGACATCTAGCGAGAACATGCATGCATCGGAGGTCTAATGAGTGGGTAGTGGGGTAGCGCTGACCGGAACACCAAGGTTTTGCCGGCAGGACGCCTCGCATTCGCCTGCGTCTGCGCAGGTAGCACAGTACCGAATACTTGGGAATAGATCACTCTACTCCAGGGTCTGGCTGAATCTGTGTATGAAGGAGCAGGGCCCGCATGAGATGGAATCGGGATGGAATCGCTGGTAGAACCCAATCTAATTATGGAACCGTGTAGTAGCGCGCTGCGGGCGAGCCCTGACGTCTTGTCAAACTATCGCGAAATGCCTCGCCGTGTCAGCAACGACCCTCAGACCTGACAGTACGCACTCGAAATCTCATCGTGCCCAAACGAGACGACGAAAAAAACGAATTCGGCTCTCCATGCTGAGGTCCGAGCAGACTGTGCGACGAATGCACTGCTTCTGGAAACATTCTGTGGATCACCCTTGTGCCGATGCTGTCGATCTCACGTCGGGGATTTTGAGCACCGACAACAACACAGCAACGCGCCAAGATCAACATTCCACAACCGCGAAAACCTTGAAGCCACTTGTCAGCGCCAGCGCTGAAGATACGTCTATCACACCTGTCAGGGTCCGGGCCTTGCTGTAGCTCGACATTAGTAACTGGGAACGTGTTCCGGTGCGCGATACTAGGCAGGAAGTCGCATGTAGCGCGAGGCCGCCAACGGCTTACACGACCCCCCATCCACCAATGTCATGGACCGGAATCGTCAGATCTTAGAAGTGGGTACGGCTCGAATCGGTCAGAATGGATACAAGAGATGCAGAGGGTGAGGAACTGTAGATTGCCGGTGGGTAAGATCGCTGTTTAGTGTTTATCGAATTTCCTACAGTTTGCGCGGATGCGTCGGTACGGCTGTCATCACCATCGGTCTAATTTTGATCGCGACCCATCTCACGGTCAGCCGTTGAGAGCGGCGAACGTTGGTGTTTGGGTATATATTTCTTTGGAGTTTCTCGAGTTTGGTTTCGTCAGGCTCAACAGTTCAGCACGGTTTCGTCTTTCTTTCTTCTTCCAAATTCGCTAGCCTTGCGTCCATATACTGGTATCATTGCTGTCGTTGAAGTTGAATCTTTGAGCAACACAACACTATCGCCAAGGACCTTCGTTACTTCTCCAACATGCGTTACTCCGCCATCACCCTTGCTGCCCTTACGGCGACATCTTCTTCGGCCTTCTCCCTATGGCCTCGCCAAAGCTCTAGCTGTCCTTCCGTCTGGACTGCCGTCGCCACCGAGCTTCAAGCCGACTTTGCTGGCTGTGGCGCGGATGCTCACCAAGCCCTCCGTGCCCCCTTCCACGACTGCATCAACAATGGCTGTGACGGCAGTCTCGTTCTCACAGACGAGTGTGGAAGATCAGAGAACGCCGGTCTCTCCGCTATCTGCACAAAGCTCAAGGACTGGAGCGACAAGTACCAAGTCAGCGCAGCAGACATGATCCAATTCGCCGGCGCACAAGCAATCGCTGCGTGCCCGCTCGGCCCCAGAGTGCAAGCGCTGGTTGGCCGCAAGGACAGCTCAAACGCCGCGCCTGTCGGAAGTGTACCCAGCAGCCGTGGCACCCTCGAGAGCATCTTGGGAGCCTTCGCTGCGAAGGGCTTCTCATCCGATGATGTCGTTGCCCTCATGGGTGCGCATAGTGTGGCAGTCCAGTTCCACGACGACCCATCGCAAGCCGGAAAGGGTCTTGACTCGACACCTTTCAGATACGACAACACCTTCTACCAAGAGACCAAGGACCGCAAGGCACCATACAGTCTCCAAAGCGATCTTCTCATGTCAAACTCTTCAGAGGTGTGTGTTCACGGTCTCAACATTCTCACCTGATCGTCACTAACCATCTTTGCAGACAGCCACCACATGGTCTAATTTTGCCGAAGACGCGAACAGCTGGTCCACCGCTTTCACTAGTGCATGGGATCGGTTCGCTGTCATCGGAAGCGACGCCAGCAAGCTCCAGGATTGCTCAAGCTTGGTTCCCAATGGTTTTGTGACCACCAAGAGGCAGGCGTTCAACATGGCGTTCACCAAGAAGATGAGCGCAAAGTTCAGGTTGTAGAAGAGATGACAGCATATGTTGCTTAGTCTGGATACTAATAGCGATGGCATGGCGTTTAGAGGTTAGACCATGGTGGTTCTGGGGTGGCTTTATTTGCTTTCATGATACTCCGCAACACGTTGCACGTTAATGTTTACTTTCTTTAATGTATTGAATCAATCTCATCTTACTCATACATCATTTCTTCTCAATGGGTACGCACTATCTTTGAGAACTTTCCCGGACCAAGATCACATGGAAGGCAACCGCGTTTGTGGAGCACTAGCGCGGCGGATGAACACAAAGTTCGTTTCTAGCATCGCTACACACTTTCGCAACTGTCCGAGCGCTCTCGAAATGTTTATTTGAGCGCCTCCAAATTTAGTCACGCCAGTCGACGCCATAGTCGTTTAGATCACAAAGAAAGAAAGCTTGACTGAGCACATCAATGACGGGGACTTCAGCGCACGCAGACAGTGGGGACCGACGGCCTACACAAGGAGTGTGCATGTTCACGCGCCTACCAGCCGGTAATTAGCTGGAGCCTGTTATCTGACACCTCACTGATCAAATCCAGAATTGCGCAACCGGATTTATGAGCTCGCTCTCGTTGATCACACACGAACCGTCCCAGGCGAGCCCTCTCATTATTGGTATCGATGGAGAGTGACCCGAATATTTCGCAACGGCCCTAAACCTTGGCAAGAGGCTTATAGACGACGACAGTACATGGGCTTAGCGCAGACATGCCGGCTAACGCGACGAGAGTTTCGTCCAATGTACCTTAGAGCTCTGCCATTCCACCCCTGGCCAGAAGACGCTTATCAGCTGGACTCGCTGTTCAAGTTCGGGCCAATCACAGGAGCAATGAAGGTCGACTTCTTAACTTTTCGGGAGGATCCGCTTGCCTTCGGTCGCTTGGACATAACCCCCATGCTAAAGGTCCTGCTAGCGTCCGACGCATATCTCAGACTGTCATGGGACGGGAGGTTTGAGCTACACGAATGGGACACCTTGACAGTCATCGTTGTCATGTTCCAGTACTTCAGGAACAACGACTGCATTCCAGGCGATGGAGCTATCAACGCACTCTGGCTCAAATGCCGCTTCAACAACGACTACTCGCCACAACCGACAGTAGTGATTGAGTTAGATTCACAATTCATGCGAAACCTAAACGAGAAAGAGCGGTACATTTACATGAGAGACCTCGTCTTGAGAATAAAGTTGGACCGTCTATGCAGTGCATTTGTCGATTTTCACTGTGGAGAATGGGAGTCAATATGGCAATGTGCTGCTCGTGGATCACGGTACCCTGATAACAAAGACGGGCACTCCGGGAGATGTCGAGAGCTTTTCACCGGAGGGGAGCTGGCGTGAAGATTCACGGAGCTGGAAGTCTGGAGACTTGACTATTACGACAGAGGTATCCGCACGCTTAAGGCCCAGAAGATATTCTCGAGGTTGAGTGATCAATTCAACACATATGTTCGTAATATCAACAGTAGGTAAATCTTCTCTCACCTTTACTATCACCTTTACCTTCATGCTTGCTATGAGCACGTGCAACATGAGCTAGCAATAAGCTAGCAGGCGAGGGTAAGTCGATTTATATAAAGCTGCGATCTCTGCGACCTCTACCACGATACCTTCAAGCCTTCCGAAGCCCTGAGAAAACTTCCCAAGACAATAGGCATGGCGTAAGCATCCACTACTGATGCAGTATATTGTACACTAACTCCCCAACAGACCAAAGCACCCAAGCGACGCCAGTCAAGACAACGCGCCGTCAGCTACCACAACCAAGGCCGGTAAGCGGGCTCGTAAAGAGGTTGTCAACGACAAGTCTCCGCTTGTCAATCTTCCTGGAGGTAAGATGCGACTGCTACCTATTCCACTCAAGCCACTAATGAGATGCAGAACTGCGGAACCGCATCTATGCGCACGCTATAGCCGACACTCAAGAATACAAGAGAGGCGGAATCTTCGTCGAGCACCATGGGCCAATATCCAACGGCGAACCCATTCTCCTGAAGTACAAGTCTATCAAAGCAGCACAGCGCTACAAGACGGCAAAGCGATGGGCTACTGCTCACAAGCAACGTCACTACTTTGGTCTGACTCAGACCTGTCGCTTGTTGCGTCAAGAGTTTCGTACGCTCTATCTCGAAGAGCTCTCTCTTGGGGTGGCTTCACGTCTTGGCCAATTCCTCGTTGTCTTCGGATGCAACGAAGAAATCCAGGCTATGGGTCATCAAATCGTGAAGATCATGCAAGATCCACTGACGCAAGGTGGCGTAGACATGTTTCCTGTCTTGAAGGAGATGTCTGACCTCGGCCGGCCACGTATCTTCACTCGTACCAACAGAACCTCACGCGCCTTGCTTTGGGACATCGAAGATCTGATTCTTACGTTGGCAGCAAGCGTTTACACTCTTACGACTTCTATGATGAGTGTTAGTAGCAACATCACCGCCATCACCATCTTCAAGGACTCGGACCAACACCACTCCGAACAAGCCGATAAGCCAGAGCTGCGAATAGATCTGGACAACGAGGGTGCCTCCCATCTGAGCCAAGAGGAGAAAAAGATCGAGATGAAGACAGTGGTCGAGCATTCCCGTCTGTTCCGTCTCGAAGGCATTATCATAACTTTCCACTGGGGCGATCGAAGCTATAGGTGGTACGTTGCTGGTCTCGAATGGGACAACACCACACCGAAAATGCGATTGCTTTCAGAGGAGGCTCGCTAAATTGCACGCTGTGTCAGCGCATTGGAGGCGCAATAAGTCACATAGTCTGGCAGAATACGAGTATTACTGGAGGGGATTATCGTGCTAGGAGTCATCATTGCGGAAAAGTTAAGCTCTCGGAATTGTCGGGCATCTCCAACGGAAGCTGTGGGGCTCAAGAGATGCTCTAGGGGGTTGGGTTCTTTTGGGGGTCGTATTCTCTTGGGGATTTGTTTGTTTGCTTCTTGACTTTGCTATCTGCGAATAAAAGTCTTTCATCGAGTCCTGATTCCGACCTAAGAACAAGTGATGTCCGCGTAGACCACAAAACAATGAACACAAGGAACGGCTCCGCCGTAGACTAACTAGGTATGTTGATTGCAACAGTCTATCCTAAGAGGTCTACCACAGCTCTTGACGCTCTTGAGTTTCCTAGCTGACATCATGGACGTCAAGGATACAAGTTTCGGCAAAAAGCTCTTCGGCTACCAGCCTCAGAGGGAACCTGCGAGTTCCATCCACTCCACGTCGGAGCCATAACGCTCCTACCCTTTGACAACAAGCTCTGCCTACACAACAACACCATGCCCGCACGTACCCGCACATATCTTCCAGACCTCTTCACCCCAACACTCACAGATTGTCTCAGAGCGAACCCACTCACGAAATCCATGTGTCGCCGTCAACGATCGCGCCCTTGCCTACAAGGCTTCCTCTATTCTCTCAAGCATCTACAAATACTACTGTTGGAGATGACGACTGAATCCGCCCATTAAATAATGGAAGGGATGAGAAAGAGGGCATACTACCTTCGCGCTATTTACATACATGCTTCTGTGGTACATACCACTGAACACCTGTATCCAAATATCAATCACCATCAGCGGAACATGAGCTCATGACAGCACTTCTTGCCAAATGTCTTCAAGTTATCTGCTAAGAGAACACCATCGCAAAACTACGTTCGCCATCCAAACAGACGAAACCCGTCCCTTCCAAGCCGTGCAGCCTGCACTCTTTGGCGATTGCAGCTTGATCAAGGGAGACGTTCTACATGGATTTCAGTTTCGGGGCTGGCACAACAACTATGAGACATCTACGAACGACGAACTTCGCTTGAGCAAAGCCGAGGTCGCGTGTTTCGGCTTGGCTTAACAAGCAATACAAATGTACAACCTTCGCAATATCCCTCAAGCCAACTCCTCCCGCACGTATGTGACGCCACAAGTTCAGAACCGGCAGTTCAGCGACCGCCGGCGACACACCTACTGGCACACTACACTCTGCCTGATGTGTGGATCCATATATGGAGGGTTACATCTCTTGGCTTGGAACAGCGAGTTCAAAATCGGCTTCATGCGCTGGGCCTGGAGATTCTCGTCGCTCTTCATAGCGGCAGCCGGTTTTTTCTTCCCCTTGTTGAAACTGGGTCAGCGCTTACATTCGCTCACCATTTTCGTGGCTGCCTCGATAATAGTACACGTATACATCGGACCCCGCGGACTTCTTGTGTATGCAGCTGTCTCCCAGCTGTGGGACCTCCCAACTTCAGCTCACAAGAAGATTGATGCTATGGCATTTATACCACATATTGGATGAGCAGCAACCGGATCGCTCCTGGAAGAAAGCACGAGGGATGGGCAGAACTGGTGTCGCATTCTACAAATAATCCGGGGTTGGAAGACACGTTACCTTGTAAGCCGCCTGGTTATCAGTATTCAATATCATGTATACTGCAAGCTGAAAACTGCCGCACGAACTGTAGCTGCCCCTAGTGGCAGGGATATCTCGCACGCGACTATTCTCGAGTGGGCGCGTTCCCAAAATGTTGAATCATGTTGAAATTGGCCACGGCGATGTGCAGATGAGAATCAACACAGCACAAGGGCATCAATGAACTCCATCGGTATGCATTTGAGAGGTAGCAAAGTCTGCAGAGCAGGGTGAATTTCATGAAGAAGTAGAAGTATCATTCCAAAAACATCGCTACAAGAATCGAAGTTACCCATCTAGGGTAAGTATATATACAAGATGAACATCGCAAAAGATGCGAAGTTGTCTACTGAAGGGCCTCAATCATGCGGCGGATCTTGGCAGCAGACTCGCTACCAGCCTCCTGCTCAAGGAAAGCAATGAAGGTCTCGAGGGTGTAGGTCTTCTCACCAGCACCGGCTGAGGGTGCGGGTGCGGATGAAGCAGCAGGCTTGGTGGGCTCAACGGCCTCGGGTGCGACGGAGGTAGGCTCAGCCTCGATCGGGGCAGGGGTGGGCTTAGCAGCTGAGGGCTTGGGAGCCTCAGGGGTAGGCTTTGGGGCAGCGCCGGTGGGCTTAGGGGCAACGGCAGTGGGCTTAGGGGCAACGGCAGTGGGCTTAGGGGCAGGAGCGGAGGGCATAGGACCCTTGGAAGGACCGGGCTTGTTGGCCTCTGGCTTGACGCACTGGGAGTAGTATGGGTTCCACTCCTTGCACTCAAGACCCTCAGCGCACTTGTTGTCACCCTTGAAGCCCTGGCCACCACACTGGTAGTACTCCTTGATGGGGCCAGATGGCTCAGCGGTAGAAGTGGGGCGGACAGCGGTGAGCATGGTGGTAGGAGCAACGATAGCGCTGGAGACGGTGCCAGGAAGCATCGAAGAGGTGCTGTTGGCTACGGGGTAGGGGGCGACAACGCTGGAGACCTCGGGAGCAGCGGCAGAAGAAGCGGCAGCAGAGGTGGCGGCGGCAGAGGTAGCGGCAGCGGAGCTCTCAACGGCAGAAGTGACCTCAACTGGGGCAACCGAAGAAGGCTCAGCCTCAGCAGCGGCGCTGGTGGAAGCGGGAGCAGCAGTGGAAGAGGCGACAGCGGAGGCCGGGGTGGAGGCAGCAGGAGTCTCAGCACCGCCGGTAGCGGTAGCAGCAGGGGCACCAGCGAGCTCGCCGAATGTGAGAAGCTCGGGGGTAGCCTCAGTACCACCAGCGATGAGAGCAGGGCCAGGGGCGGGGTATGAGTCGAGATCGGCGTGGATGGAGAAACCAAGACCAGGACCAGTCTTGGAGTAGGCCTCTGGGAAAGTGACACCCTTGGGCTCGAGGGTTCCGCTACCGGTGACGGTAAGCTGGTAGCAGGTCATGTAGTGCTGAGCACCACCAGCGGGGCCTGCAGCGTGAAGGGCGATAGCCTCAGCACGGAGAAGGTAGTCACCGGGAGCGATGTTCTTGGGGATGGTGAAGTCAAGCTTGCCGCCTATTGAGTCGTTAGCCGTAGTATCCAGAGGACATGATACCGTACGTACAGTTGTAGTTGAGGTCCTTGGTGCCCCAGAAGTCGTTGTCGCCCTGAGTGGCATCTGGGTTCTTCGCCCAGGTGTTCTGGTAAACCTTGAAGAACTCGCTGGAACCATCCGCAGTGGCAGCATCCTCAACCTTGGACATGTATGCGAGGACGGGACCCCAGTGAGCACCACCAAGACCCTCCTCCTTGCAGTCACGGGTGTTGTGCTGGTGCATCTCGATAGTGACTGTGTCACCAGCCTCGAAGTCGCACTTTCCCTCAGCGGGGGCAGGGCTAACGTTGCCTAGATTGATGTCAGCACAGATCCAAAGTGGGAACTCGAGGGGTACTGACATTGCAGCGCAGTGCTTGTGTAGTCCTCAACGGGGCTGTTGGAAGGTGGCAGCCTGGCACAGGTGCTCTCAAGATCCTTTCCGTTCTTCCAGAGTTGTTGGAAAGTGGCGTGGGCGTTGGCCAGCGCCAGGATGGCGGGGAGGACAGCTACGGACTTCATAGTGTATATATTGATGCGAGTAATGATGTTTGGAATGAGTGACAAGTCAAAGGTTGACAAAAGAGTGACTGAAAAGGCGAAAGAACGAATGAATGACGAAGTCCTGTAGTGAAAGAATGTCCAGCGCAGCTGCGTTACTGTTACAAGTCTGGCGAGCTCGAAGACTTATATCCTCCAGCGCAGGAGATGAGTCCAGCCGTGAAGCCGAGGAATATGTGGCACGCTGCATAGCTAGCCGTTTCGTTTACCACCGGTCCAATCTCGAACCTGACGCCGGGGCGCTATGTGTCTGCAGCCACACTCGGATAGATGAACGAAGGATGGATACCTAGGCCAAGAACAGAACTCTTGGGAACCAGAACCAGGTCCATGGGTCAAACGACGACTGACAGGTTTGACATGTGGAGCGCTGATTGGTGGAGATGCACTGTGCCTGGAGTTCGAGCCGAGTAGAGCTTAGTGCTGTTTTGACATTGGACGAGACGAGAATCCTTCACATTGCAGGGGCTCCGAGGCATCCTCTGTAAAGTGTTGGCGTTACTGTCCCGCGCTGCAAACTGCACATTGGTGTGGCTGTTAACGCATTGCAACTGCTTATTGCGATGGCTGGAGCAGAGCTTGCAGAAGATGGATCGCAACAACTTCTTGATCGCACTTGCTTTGGCACCTGCCTTGCCTCGGAGATGATGGTGCGATAGGGTATGGCTGCAGAATCTAATGATGGCATCCTCTGCAATCTCCAGAATCTGCAGCTTAAGATACAATGCGGGTCTGCCAACCCAGGGTCGAGGTATCAACACCGGCTCGAGTGTGGATGTGAACATGTTCGTCGGAGAATGACAAGACGGCTAAATAGCCACAGGATAATACCCTGAGTCGACTTTTACGCCGTATGCGGATGGAGTCATGGAGGAATGCGCGCTCATGCTCATGCGCTTTGCGCGCGGCACGTTGAAACGTTGGGGTGGGGCGAGACGAAACACCAACTGCATGATCGCTGCTGGGGTTGCGCTCGACGCCGTGAAGGATCGCGGTAAAGTGACTGAGTCTGAAGGATGAAGTATCCAACGTTGAGGAGATGAAGGCGCGTATGTAAAGGCGGTGTTGGATCATGGTTGCCAGTAGAGAGAGGCCGCCAGGCTATTACGCACCGAAGGCTCGTGATGATGTCATCGCCAGCGCGCCGCATCGGCCAAAACTCACAATGCAACTCGTTCTTCGCCGTCTCATGTCACGAAAAATTTGTCGCATAATACGCGCAGTCAACGATCAGGCCTACAACAAGAATCGGTCTCGGTTTCGACAGATGATCAGCATGGTCATTTGTTCCCAGTAGCAATGCTCCGCGAGACCTTCAATCAGCGACTATGGTTATCAACTTATTCGCAAGACGTTGCTTGTTCGCTCACTCAGAGCTTGCGCGTGTCTAGCTCATGTTCTCAAACTCATCACTAACCCCATATCTAGGATGAGATACGGGCTTGTGCACACAGCCGCCAAAGGCGTTATCCAAGGATGACAAGGTCTACTACAGCGACCCTGATGAGGCATGCTCCTTGTATGCTAAATAAATCTCTAGTCAAATCGGATTCTTGTTCTGCAATGCAGCAGCATCACTGCAGCCTGCAGCAGTTGGAGCCCTTTATTGCGGATGCTCTGGCAGCGCTCTTACACCGGTGACAGAGGAATCACCGCGGTTTCCCAATCTGGAAGACAAACGCAGTAGCGTTGTCATGATCACCAACTCGACCTTGGGACCCAGCGCCCACAAGGTTTTCTGGAAATTTCAGCGGCGCGATTTCTTTCTCATCCCTTCCATTATTCAATGGGCGCGACACACACACACACACACCCTCCAATGACCCAAACACTCGGCATAGTCCTCGACCCGGACGCGATGGCGCGCGAGCTCTCCAAAACTGAGCGTGAGACTGACGCAGAATTCGAAAAGCTTCTCGAAGAAGAAAGACAGGCCATTGCCGACCATCAGCTCGCTTTGACTTTGGCCGGCTTGAGTACCGAAGACCCAGAATTCGTACTCAGCTCGACCTACGCTACGAACCTGTCCAACGATCGCTCCCTCGGTACCAATGAGCAGTGGGCTCGTGCAAAGGAGCTCTATGCCGAAATACACGCATACGAGATGGGTTCGCAAACTTCAACGGAGCCCGATGAGACAAGCGATACCGAAGAAGAAGGGACTGACTACGACTCGGAACCTACCCCGGAAGAGCCCCTCACTCTGTGCGGAATGTGTCTCGATAATATACCGACCATAGACACCCTGACACTCGAATGCAAACCTGTGGCTCATAGCTATTGTCGAGATTGTCTTCATGACTTCTTCGTCAGGGCCCTCGAAGACGTCTCGGTCTTTCCTCCTAAATGCTGCAACATTCCAATTCCGCTGGAAGTATGTCGTACCATGCTTCCGCAAGGATACGTCAAGAAGTTCGACCTCAAGGTGGAGGAGCTTGCGACACCCAATCCGACATATTGCGCAAATATCGACTGCACCGCTTTCATTCGGGTCAAAGATATTAGCGCCGATATAGGCACCTGTATCGACTGCAACGAGATGACATGCGTGCAGTGCAAACATCGTGCACATGACGGACTGTGTCCGAGCGACCCACATATACAACTCCTCATGGATGCAGCGAGGCGGGCCAAGTGGCAGCAATGCGCCAAATGTAGAAACATGGTCGAACTTTCTCAGGGTTGTTTCCATATGTACTGCCGCTGCGGTCATGAGTTTTGCTACCTTTGCGGCGTGCCCTGGAAAACATGCAGATGCCCACAGTGGGATGAGGAGTTCCTGACTCGCCCTGATCCAGTCGGCCAGCCAGCCCCCGCTCCAGAACCAGAGCCCGCTGAGCATTTGCACGTTTGGCAACGTGTGACTGGGGGGAACTGTGAGGATTGCAGCGCCGACTGGCTACGATTCGTCATGCACTGCGGCGGGTGCGGTGTTACTAGTTGCTGGCGGTGCATCGGCAATCTCCATTATAGGCGTTCGATGCCTCAGAACAGGCTGAAGGATACTGTTTCCAAACATATGGAGAGAAAGATCCGGGGACCTGGCCAGGAGATGATGTGGACGCAGGGCGTGTATCGCAAGCGGGTGTCAAGACCTGAAATCTGCACTCAAGATCGACGAACAATACTAAACAGACCGCGAAACTATCTGCGCATGTCGGATTAGCTTTCAACCCTTATCAGCAATTTTTGTACCCTTCTGAGTTCGGTAGGATGTACCCGAGGACTGCTGACGATGTGGCGGTAGAAGCCTTGAGCCTGGCCCATGAGGTTTCTTTTGCCAAACAACATGTCACTCAATGACTCGTGCCATGTGCTGCATTATCGATGAACGGCCTATAGCGCGTCACTTATAAGTTCTTCTTTGCCGTATTCCCATCTTGAGAGCAATGTGGTGGTCGCGATGTGGGTACTGACAGACAGCATGGTATGGTCGTGATCCGACGGGTAGGAAAGACACGAATTCGACATCTAGCTGCATAGCTCCCTTGTGTCGCCACAACACCGCCAGTAACGACTGTCAGCCCTCAGTTGGAATTACTCTGGAGTAGAAGTGGTCTTGAGCGATCGGCGCCAGGCCCCTTTTTAGCCGGATGCCATGCCCAAGTGTGCGGGAGGTGTCAGCGCTAACCAGTGCTTATCCCGACGCCTCAACACCACTTTGCCACTCACCTCAGCTTCCACAGCGCAGCCTTCTCTTCATCATCTCCACACATTCAGGAGAACATGCAGTCGCCTGCTTCGTCTAAGCCACTATTGCGAACGGTTCTACGCGATCTTGGGAGCGTAGCATGTCTCTGGGCTACCTAGGCACACGGCACTCACGGCAGCAAAATACGAACCATCACAACAACAAAAGATTAGGCTATGAGTCCCGCATTTCGAGGTATCGAAATATGATAGCTGATTCAGAATATGGCTACACAGATACCACATGTGGTCCCACATTCCTCGAAGCTGACTCGCAAACAAGTATGGCAATGCCACCATCACACTGGATACGTTAATGATGTACAATCGTGTCGCTTGGCATACTCCGGCACGTACCTGCATATCGTCGGGAAAACCTTAAACGCGAAAACGGCGACGGCATGTATGCCGCGGATGCTGCGTCTGCAGATCTTATCGCAACGTCGATGATGCCGAACATTGAGTGGCTTAGTTCATCTCCTTCTCCCGCCTCGGTGCCCGAACGACGCCAAGGGGAACACGGGTTGGGCTCAACAGTAACGCTGAGCTCTCATGATCTACTCGCTATACCGCTTGCCTGATCCACAAATGGAAGCCTTACAGCGCGTTGCTTCTTGCGCCTCGCCTCGCCTCGGGTGTCTCGACCACTTTCAGATTCACGGCCCATACTTTTTCCCGCCACATAGCTCGCTTCATCGTATTCTCAAGCCCCACGGCCAAACATAGAACGTTGGGTATTTGGCATACTGTCATAGAATCCCATATAACATGGCCTTCAGCATACCTTCGGATGCAGTGTCTCGCTTCTCAACACAGTCGTTCCTTCTTTGCGCAGTCAAGCCTGTTGTGGTCGCTCGTGAACAGTCATACAGCCATCTTTTGTTGCTACAATCATGGTAGCCTACGCTCCTTACTTCGCCGCTACGGCTTCATTGTCGTCTGTCCTCCACGCAGTCACCCCTTCTGAGTTCAGCACCGCGCCCATCTGCCAGGTCGTCACAGCTACAGTCACTGAATACGCCACAGCACGACCCACGACCAACTCTCATGGGCATGGCGGGCCATACTACAATCCCTACAACGACGTACCTCTCCCTTTCGAGTGGCCGGGTAAACCATCACATGGAGAAGCGTACGCCCCTCCTCAGCCTTCGACACCCTACGAATACGGCGGGCCCGCCAAACATGACTACGAAGAACCGTGTTGGGTTACCAAGGGCACCGACCATCTGAAGAGCTCACTTCCAAATGTCGAACAGTGTGGTAACTCACAATGGGGTTTGATCGACACTCCCCATCTCCCGGCAAATGGTCTCCCGGGCAGTAATCCCGATGGCGCATATACATCTGAACCAACGAGGCTACCATCAACACATTCTCTCCACCCTACAGTATCTGGTTATCCATACGGTTATGCAAACGCCACAGGGTCTACCACTTTCGGACCGACTGCTGCTGGGACGCTCGAGCCTATCGCTTCTGCGGCCTCCAAACCAAAGGCTGATCTTCTTTGTCCTTCCATGCCCGACACTGGCGTGACAAGAACATACGATCTTCACGTGGCTTATCAAACGATCGCTCCAGATGGTGTCACCAGGAATGGACTCACAGTCAATGGTCAATTCCCCGGTCCTCTGATTGAAGCCAACTGGTATGGACTGTCCCATAACATTGTAATGCTTTTACTGACCGCATCAGGGGTGATTGGATCCTTTGGAGAGTTACGAATGATTTGACCGATGAAGGTACTACCCTTCATGCTCATGGCCTTTTGCAGACAGAAAGTACCTGGTATGACGGTGTCCCTGCTGTCAGTCAATGCCCGATCACTCCAAACGGCGGTTACTATGAGATGCTTTTCCGGGCCGACCGCTACGGGACGTCTTGGTATCACAGTAAGTTCTTCAATACTACACTGAGATACGCAAAAGCTAATTTTCTAGGCCATTACAGTGCCCAATACTCCGGTGGCGCTCACGGCCCCATGGTCATACATGGGCCAAAACACGAGGATTATGACATCGACATTGGCCCCATCATTCTCGAAGATTGGTTCCACGCTGACTACTATACCCTTGTTGAAGGCACTATGAACGGCCAATTCCCGCCCTCAAATAACAATCTCATCAACGGAAGAATGAATTACCCATGTGCCAATACAACCTTGCCTTGCACGCCTAATGCAGGTATCTCTAAGTTCAAATTCCAGTCTGGAAAGAAGCATCTACTACGCCTCATCAACACAGGCGCTGAAGGCAACCAGAAGTTCAGCATCGATGGGCACAAACTGAAAGTCATCGCCGTAGACTACATCCCGGTCGAGCCGTACACGACCAACGTCGTCACGCTTGCCGTCGGTCAGCGCACTGATGTCATAGTCGAAGCTATCGGCAAGCCTAGCGATACCTTCTGGATGCGCTCTCAACTTGCTCAAGGCTTTCGCTGTACACTCACCGACGGCATCTCGCCTAATGCTCTTGCGGCAGTATACTACGAGAATGCCAGTACCGACGCTATCCCCAAGTCTACCTCTGATGTCACGAAGGAACAACTTGAGCAATGCAAGAACGACCCCATCACCCAGGGTATCCCGCTGTGTAAGGTCCCATTGGAAGAGCCAGACCATGTCGAACGTGTGGACTTTGATTTCCGCTCCAATGGCACCAACTTCATCTGGTATCTCAACAACAGCACCTACCACGGCAACTACAACAAACCAACTCTTCTGAAAGCAAAGCGTAATGAGTCGGACTTCAATCCTGAATGGAACGTGTACCAATTCCCCGGTGCGAAGCATGTGCGCATCCACATGGTCAACCACGGTCTCATTGGCGGTCATCCCATGCATTTGCACGGCCATGACTACCACATCCTGGCTGAAGGCTTCGGCGAGTGGGACGGCGTTGTGACAAATCCGGAGAACACGCTGCGACGCGATGTCCACCAGATGCAGAATGCACGAAACACCACCGGCACTGTTGAGCCTTCGTACTTGGTACTGCAATTCGCACAAGATAATCCAGGCGCATGGCCACTGCATTGCCATCTCGCTTGGCACGTTAGTGGAGGGCTTTTCATGCAGATCTTGGAGAGACCAGAGGATATCCAGAAGCAGACATTTGGGGATGAGCAGTTTCAACTTTGCAATGATTGGGATGCTTATACTTCTGAAGTGGTCCTCAATCAAATCGATTCGGGGTTGTAAGTAAACGTTCATGTATACAGGGCCCTAGAGTGCGAGCATAGTACATACCCATGACTTTCCCCAATGGTTGTATCACGTGATTTCACACCTCGCAGATTGATGAATGCCGCGTGATAGGGTCTTCGTTGCCTAGCTGATAGGGTGGTTCGCATTTCCTTCGCATTCTGTGCAGGTCAAGTATTTCGACAGGACGCCCCTGTGGACCTGTGCAGTCACTGGAGAAGACGCGTTCAAAAGCGGCCCAGCCTTGGTTGTTCCCAGAAAATCGATCTGCTGAACTCCGCAATATCGCCGAAGATACAATCTTGCATCCCACCGAGCTTCTCGAGAATATCCCATTTTTCCTCTCTTGCCGATCGTTAAGTTCCGAGGATAAATCTGCAGTAGCAACGGGCTGTAGGTGGGAGGAGAGATGAGCTCGGGATATGCGCGCGGGAAGATTTGGTCATGACGTCATGGCGCCATGAACCCACGGCAGCCCATTAATAAAAGTAAATTAAAGACACCGACCATTAGCAGAACTTCCGTGCTCACGACATCTACCCTTCATCCCAGTCTGCTATTACTGGCCAATCATAATGAGCGCGGCTCCGCAGCATCTCAAAGTGCTCCTGACAGGTGGTGCCAGGGGTATCGGGCGCGGGTTGTTCAGACAGCTGCTGACATCTGGACATGACGTCGTCATTCTGGATTCGAACAAAGAAGAGCTAGAGCATGTCCGTACGCGAGCTGAAGAATGGTCAAATGATCGAAAGCAAAGCTGGTCTGCGCTTGAGTGTGACCTCAGCAAGCGAACGGAGTTGAAGACTGCTGTGGAAGAAGTCAAGCGGAAATTTGATGGCAAGCTCGACGTCTTGATCAACAATGCTTTCCCGACAGACCTATCAATATCGGAGGATCGCAGCATGGAAGCTGAGGGAGAAGACATGGAAAAAGAGTGGGATTTAAAGGTTGCGATCGGTCTCACTG